AAGGGAGCTAACCCTAGTGAAATAGTGAACCAAGAGCAAGTAAGCCTCAGACGGCAAGGCAAGGAGGGGTAAGGAAACCAGAAGGCAGAGGCAATGGCACAAGAAACAGAACCAACCAAGAGAGATCCTCTATAAATGCAGATTCTCTCTCTGTAAACTGACATTTGTTTATTGTCACCAGAAATGTCTCTCTGGAGAAAGTTAGGTGGTTAGCTACAGACAGAGGTCTGTATTGAAAGAAAACAACAGGATTAGCCCAACTTTTATTAATATCATTAATTTTAACCGGGTAGTTTGTCACAAAATATACATCTGAGGCAAAAGTGTGCAGTCGTGCGAATTTTGTGAATTGAAGGATAATAAGTCAGAAGAAAACATAGATACAGATTGATTTTTTTAAAAGCAGCAGAATAGGCAGAAGTTGGCAGAATGTATAAGTTAAAGGAATCAGCTGTCACTGGGATTCTCTTCTTGGTACCCTTGAGGCGCTGTGCAAAACAGAGATGCGAAGCTTGCTCAAGTTCTGATTAGGAAAAGCATCTTCAAATCAGATTAGGTCACTGTTAGGCATTAGAGGGAACAGTTGCCATCTGTGGAGATACTGTTTTGTAAAATCCTGAAACATGTTCCAATCTCACTACAATTAAACATAGCAGTGCAATTGGACTGTGTCTTCAGAAACAGTCTTTTGTCTGTCTTGAGGTGCTACTTATTTTCATCTTGTGCAGTGCTAAATAACCAAACTCTTTACCTTGATAACCATTTGTATTACAGTTACAATGATGTGGCATTAAACAGTATGAATGCTAAGGGGGAAAGAAGCTTAGGTCATTATATTTTCTTTTTGTAATGAATTTTCTGAACAAACATTATTTCAGAGTTATTTATTCCATGGATCAAGTGTCAACCATTTTTTTAAATTTTTTAATATAAAGAAATGAGAATTTGAGGTTGTCAGGTCTGAACAATGGGTGAGAAATACTAGTAAATTAGAGATGTGCTTACTTGTGAATATGACACAAAACCAGAAAAATTATACAAAAAAAGAAATTCTAATTAGAAAGATACCTGAACTTCTGAACCTGCAACTCAGCAGATTTGGTTCTGATTGTCATCCAACCAAAACCAGCACTGACTGGTGATTAGCATCAGCTCAGATTAAGTTAATTGGCTTTAGCCAATCCCTAGGCAGACACTCATTTGGAATAAACCTGAAAGTGTTTCGTTCATTTCACCAAGTGAGGTGGTTAAATAATCAATGAAATTCATGTAAGTTAACAAACAAATTGAAAATCTTTTTAAAAGAAAACTTTTAAGGAAGACTTCGATTCCTGGTGAGTACAGAAACATTTTTCATTTTTCTGAAATAAGATTTTTTTTAAGCTAGTGTTATGGAGTTTTTCTTTTCAGTTCAACTTTATTTTTGCTATATCTTTATGTTGGACATAAAACTATTATCATGCTACGAAATGGTAATAGACCGTGTCCAGCACACCAGCAGTGTTAACTGTATGGTATCATTGAAGATATAAAGAGTAATTTAAATACTCTAGTATCTTTGTTGGTTTGTATTTAAAAAAGACTAGGTTAAATCTAGTTTACTCAAATGTAAATGAAGTTGACCTGAAATAATGTGTATAGTATATTATCACACATGAAACACTTTTTTTTCAGTTTCTTTTATGTTAAATGTTTGATGTATAATTAGGCGTGACAAACTAGACTTTGTTATCTTCTTTTCAGTTTTAGACTTCTTATAAGTTGCTTTAATTTATACTATATAATCAAAATAATGAAATTTTACATCTTTAAAAGCCTATCATTTCTGTGATTAAGTGAGTCACAGGGAGACAGAAAAAGCTGTGTGGTAGAGATAGATGTTTAGCTTACTGTAAGATGTTTTGTTGATTCAGCATTACCATTTTAATTATCATAGTGAATAAGTGACTTTAAAAAAAAATTCTCCATATAGTATTCTTAAAACTCCATGGTCTAACTTTAGACAATGAATCAACTAAAAAGACAACTACAGGCATGGTAAGGTGGAGTAGGTTGTTCCCAAATGACTTTTTTTTGTTGTTGTTGATTTAGACTAATAGGGTACACTAAACTGTGATTTAAATTACTTCTTTCTGAAGTTAGTTCCAAATATACATATATGGATGTGTGTATGTATTTGTATATGTGTATATATGTGTGTATGCATATATACATATATATGTGTGGGTAAACAGAGATGCTGAAAAGGTAAAATCTACAGGCCTTGACAATAACTTGGATATAGGGGGTGAGAGATAGTGAGGAATCTAGGATGATTCCCAGGTTATGAGCCTGAGGAACTGGGAGAATGGTGTTGTCCTCTGTAATAATAAGGAAGATATAGGGGTGGGGAGGGTTTAGGGGGAAATATACATATATATACATATGTGTATGTGAACATATATGTACATACACACATATCTATATATACATATCTCCATATATACACACAAATGAAATTAAACTATGTAAATGTAGGTACATATTAATACATATATGTATATGATCAGGTAAGCATATGTGTGTATATATATAGATATTGTATGTGTGGCATATATTTGTATAGATAGATGGACATACATCTATATATATTTATATTTTTCTACAAACTTCAAAATGCAAAGAATTAACTTCACTTAAAATAGGTAGAAATAAATATTAATAAGTATTATATATGTCATTCTATTCCCTTCTGCACATTTTCTGTTTTATTTTTTGTCATTAATTTTTTTGATACTGGGTCTTCCTATCTTACCCAGACTAGAAGTACAGCAGCCACTTCTGGGCATGGAAGCTTTGATCAATTCCATTTCTGATTTGGGCTACTTTCCCCCTCTTTAGGCAGCTTTTGGGGACCCCTTGCTCCCAAGTGCTCACCATACTGGTGCCAGATTTAATCTGGCCATTAGCCTTACTTTGGCTCAGAACTCCCAAGTGCAAGCCATCTACCAGTCTTGGCCTCCCCTAGCATCAAGGATTATAAGATGTGCCAGCACACTTGGTCATATTCTACCTTTTGGCTAAATTGGACTCTGAACTGGTCCCTGACTTTATTTTCTACTTTCCTACCTCTGTGCATCCATTCAGGCCATTCCTCATCCCTGGAGCACACACCCTTTACATCTTTGCCCATGGAAATCCTATTTTTTTCAAGGCCCAGCTAAGGTGTCATATCCATGATTTGTGTCAATGTTATACCCTTCCCCAATTAGATTGTTAACTCCTTATGGGTAGGGAGTATGCTGGCACCTAGCACAGTGCACATCACATTTGTTGAACTGAATAGAATTAATGTGTGTTCTGTAATGCTATTCTATCAGTTTATAGAATGAAAAGCATGTTGTAACTAAGAAAAATGGATGGATTACAAAGATAAGAGGAAGAGATGATTGATTGGTGACGGCTCTCGTGGCAGAAGAGAAAGCTGTACAGCAGATAGAGACGTGGTCAGGGCACCCAATAGAGTGCAAAACAGAACTGACATTAGAATGTAATATTCTTGCTTTTTGGATAGTCTGTATTTCCTTTACTTTTATAGGAGAAGTGTGTGACTAAAGGAGGACACACGCTGACCCATTGCCTTTGAAAGTTTTTAGTTTGCCCTATATTAGAGCATAACAGCTTAATGCATTATTCTTACAGAGTCCTATTTAGCCCAACTGATTTACCAATGTTAACTCCTTAATCTCCACCATAGCTCAGCAGCATAAGAATAATAAGTGTTGTATCTTTTAGTTAGATTTCAAAAACCTTTCTATTGGCTAAAGGGACAGAGGACACAGTTATGTATTTATACATGTAAATTTAAACATGAAGAGAAAAATGCCTCTGAAACCCTACCATTGTAGAAAAAGAACCCATCAACATGGACACTGTGTAGGTATCTGTTCAGATAGGAATCATCAGTAAATGGTGATGTGAATCTAGAAGTATGATCTAAATGTGAGTGGTTTGTTATATTTTTATTATGAAACAGACAAAGACTTCTCATCATTTCTATTTTATAGATGGAGGAGTAAGTACTGAGAGATTATGCAACCTGCCCAAGGTCAAGTAAGCGGTTCTCATGACAGGGATGAGAAAGGATTACAATTTGCTGACTCAGCTCCTCTGCTGGAACCTCTAACTTCCCACTCTTTCTGCTTTGTGCTATTCTGTCTTTATTTTCTCAAGCACCATAATTGCTTTCATCCATTGGAAGAAAACATCTAAGTTCTATTCTGATCTCTGAATACATTTTCCTAAAGAATACGCAGATAAGATTTGCAAATTACACTGGTGATATATGAGGGAATCTTAGATAACAGCTTGGATCTATTTAAGTGGGTGATTGGGGCCAGATTTATAGCGAGTTTTAAATTACAAATATACTTTTTTTTTTCATCTTTAGAATGCTGATTACATTTATTCAATTGGTTCAGTTTTTCTTTAGAACTTACCGTTATTTCTAAGCTGTGGGGAATGCTTACTGTTTCTTAAGACTCCAGTAATTAAGGTGATTTAATACAACCAAAAATGCAATAAAATAGCACAAAACAAAAAAAAAATACAACCCAGAACCAAACAAATCCCTCCACAACAGCTCACTTTCCAGTTCAGAGACTGTGGTTTTAGCAATTAGTGGAAATTTTCTGAAGGCTTTCCAGTTCTCTGAAGTTTGGATTTGGGAACCATTGATAGGGGGATCACAGAAGATATAGACCATTGGACTTGAGATTAAAATCCTGTCTCAGACGCTTACTAGCTGTGCCATCTTCTTTAAGTTCCTTAGCCTCTCTGTGCCTCAGTTTCCTCATCAATAAAATGGAGATAATAGGATCTACTTCATAGAATTGTGAGGATCAAACAAGACAACAAATGAACACTTATACAAATACTAGCTCTTATTATTGCTATTATTACTATTACTGCAGGGTTTGTTATTATTTGTTTGAATTTTCCTTTTTTCCCCTTGTCTCTAGATTCCAGTCAAAATGAGTGAAACTCCTTCCACTAACTTTTCAATGATTCATGCAGCTTCTTCTGAAGGCCAAGCTTCTTATCCTCGACACTTCAATGTCACTCAGCCAGTTGTGGCCAAAAGAATTAGTTTTTATAAGAGTGGAGACCCTCAGTTCAGTGGGATCCAGATGGTTGTCAACCCTCGCTCTTTCAAGACTTTTGATGCCTTGCTTGACAACTTGTCTAGGAAGGTCCCATTGCCCTTTGGAGTCAGGAATATCAGCACCCCACGGGGTATCCACAGCATCACCAAGCTGGAGGACCTAGAGGATGGCAGGTCATACATCTGTTCCCACAGGAAGAAAATACAACCCATTGACCTGGAGAAGGCTCGCCAGAAGCCCCTGCCCTGGCAGAGCACTAGACCTCTCAGTGCTCGTCGCCGAGCTGCGCAGCTGGCCAGGGCAAAGGAGTTTGGCCCGGCTTGTCGAGAGCTTCCTGTGGTGGTTCAGACCCCCAGAAAGCTCTTAGTTTTCAAAAATGGTGATCCAAGGACTAGGCACATTATAATTTTGAGTAGGAAGATCACCCAGAACTTTGAGGCCTTTCTGGAACATCTGACTGAGCTCATGCAATACCCAGTTGTGAAGCTGTATACTACAGATGGAAGAAAGGTAAGAAGGGACATTTGAGAGAAAGCTACCCCTACTTAGTGGTATTGTCACCAACTACTGGAATGAAGTTTATTTACTCTTTTTGTTTCAGGAATGCTTGATCAATAAATTATTTAAGGAATTACCAGACATTCATCAAGCTCTTACTATATGTTAAGTACTGTGCTTGGCCATAGGTATGCAAAAAAAAAAATCATTCCTGCCCTCAAGGAGAATACATTTAATCAGAGGAACCATAATGATAATATTAAAACTAAAATGGCTGCTCTTTAAGGTTTGTCCTGTAAGCAGGCATAACAATGAATGGGACTAGAAGTTATATTTAATTTGGGTGCTTGGGGTGGGGAGGGCAATATCTTTGACTTCTTTATGTGTCCACAAGGAAAAAGTGTGTATAGGTATCTTCTTTGCTGACTTTAGTGTGTAACTAGAGGAGTACTTTATATTACAGGCAGTTCATTCTCTAGCTCAGAGTAAGGTGTAAGACTGGCAACACCTTGAATACTTCTTGGGGGTTGGGGTTGAGGAACACAGAGGACAGATGTGTCATCCCATATGTTGTTATATTTCCCTAGCTATACCATAGGATCTTCAGGGAGACTGGACCTGCCGTTTCTTTCTTTCAAATTTGCATAATGAGAAATAGCATGTGAGGTTCATAGAGGACCTGCCCTGGAGTCAGGAAGGCCTGGGGTTCAAGTTTTTTCTCTGGCACATTCTCGCTGTTCAACATGGACACATCACTTAATCCTGGCTCAGACAACTCTTAAAGCTTAAAGCTATAGTAGAATTGATGGATAATAAGAATTTCCAATGTAGGAGTTCTGTGTGCAGATGAAATCATAGGTCCAGAGGGGAAAAATAGTGTTGAAAGCACAAAGAACTTTCACCTACTACCCTAGGAGTTCAATAAATTTTTGTTTGTTTCCTATAAGCCTAGGATATTTATTGAGCTGATTGAGGCAATAAAATAATAATAACAACTATATACCGTAAAATATATAAAATATATGAATAATAAAATATATACAATATATACATACATAAAATAAATAAATATATGTATATATATTTATTTAGGTTTACAATCTCCTTTACATACATGATCTCATCTGAGATGTAGGTTAGAATTGAAAATGACCACGTTGAAGGAATAAAAACCTTTATTACATGTAGCCGTTGTGGCCATACTTTCCAAAATGCATATTGTTGCCTGTTGCTGATGTGACTTTTTCTCTTTCTTTGAGGTGCCCAGCCTACAGGCAGTTATACTGAGCTCTGGAGCTGTGGTGGCTGCAGGAAGAGAACCATTTAAGCCAGGAAATTATGACCTTCTGAAGTACCTGCTTCCTGATCAATTACCAAGGACCTCCAAACGCATTTACCCAAAAGGACAAACTAAACCAGAAGGCAGAAAAAGTAAGTCACTTCGAAAATAGAGCTTCTATTTTTATTCATAAGGTTTTTGACAGCAAGAGAAAATACATGTTGAAATGGACCAATTTCTTGTATTGTAGGAAAGAAAATAAAAGAGAAATGAAAACTGAAAGGTGTTTCTCATTCTAATCTGGATTTGGTTATCCCATATATCGTAATGTTTTTCATTTTATTTTTTGATCATGAAAAAAAGGTACCTGCCTGAACCACTGTCACATCTCCTCCTTTCTACAACCTATGCCAAGCTGAATAAACCAAACAGGTTGTGTGATGTCTTGCTTCAAGCAGAAGGGAAATGTCGTGGTTTCCACCTGGTTGAATTCTGCAGTGATATTATAGCTTAGCACCAAAATTATCTAGTGACATTCAGTTTGTTTCAGCAAATGAGCAGAATTGCCATAATTTATCAGATCCTTAATTCCATTCTTCCCAACTTTTTGTAGTCATTCCTGAATCAATCCAGGACTTTTCAATCCACCTTTCATTAGTTTAGAGAAAAGATTCAAAGTGTTCAGTCTAGAGAACCAAAAACCTTGGGCTGCTGATTCTGAAGAAAATGCTGTAAGCTGTGATGGGTGCTCTGTACAAATAGACATACATATACATATACATATGTACATACATACATATACACATACATATATGATGGAGTCAGCTTGAACTGGTTCATAAGACCCAATTAGTAAAGTTTCACTGTGATCATTTAAACTTCAGAAACCTTCAAATGCTATAAGTGATTGTTTTGGTGATTGTCTAGATTTAAGAAAATGATGGGGAAAATGTTAATAATGAAGATTAAACTTAAAAGTATATCTTGTGTATATTTTTCTTCCTGGAGAAATAGTTGTTAAGCATTTTCCATCATGATATTGGTTCTAGGGCACTTAGTGTTATCAGAGAAAACTTTGGGTAAATGATAGTTATTGTCACTTGCACCTTTTTATTTTCAACCCCTTTGGCCTTTTGAATACTATATGTTTTGTTTTGATAGTGGTAGGTAATGAGTGCCTCACTCATTCTTAAGGAATTAATATTTGATTTGTCAGCCACATAACTCTACTGTAACATATATACCAATTCTTATATATGGTCAGAATAATACAATTTGACAGAAATGTGTTTCCTATGTTTTTAGTAACTGCATCTCAATATTTTTAACTGAGGTAGAAGAAAAATTCTCTTGTAAAGCTATCTTTGAAAAAGGAAAACTACTTTTGTTGTAGAATGTGTTTTATGAATATAACTTATTAATAATGTAAGGATTATAGGGCTATAGACAACCCCTTCATTTTATGATGAGGCAAGTGAGGCCCAAGGTGTTAAGTGACTTACACTTGGTAATTTAGATGATAGTGACGGAGCAAGGACTCAAACTCAGGTGCTCAGACCCAATACTTAGCACAGGGCCTCACACATGATAGGTGCTTAATAAATGCCTGTTGACTTGACTTATCTCCAAATTCAATGTTCTTTCCCCTCTACCAATCTGTCTCTATTAAAGACGGAAAAATGAGGTCATACATATAAAGCAGTGCTGGAGATCTTTGGAAGATATGAAGTCTTTAAATCTATAGTATTATGTATCTTCACCTGGTCCCATAAAAATGACTGAAGTAATGATTGAATTGAACAAATTTAATTTAAAAATTTGCATTTACAAATCTAAAGGAGGTATATGGATTCAAAGACAGCATTGCAATGTTTCACTTGCTTGCCATTGAAATGAGGTCAGAGTGGAGTGCGTCCTTGAGTTCAGTCTCTTTTTATAAAAAATATTTTCAAAGGAAAGAAAATAAATCCTGGGTCTCTTTTTCTTTCCATGATGCCACTGTTTATAGTAGTTTTTTCCTATGCTTGTAATAAAAAGGACCTGAGGCTGAGTTCCTCCACTCTGAGAGATTCTGCTCAAATTAAGGCCAGGTTATGGCTACCAGTGTACCACTGCAATATCACCAAAAGCATCTACTGCTACTCTCTAATGACAATAAAAAAGACCAGTGGATATTTGGAGATGATGAGAATTGAAGAGTCATTTGACAATGAAAACAATAATCGAACAAAATAAATGTGATGTGGATCCCAGCTTTGCTCCTGCCTCTGCTGGAGGTGTTTGTGCTATCTTAGATTAGTCAGAGGGTGTGCCTTTTGGTAGGTAATCAACTGAATTTAAAGGATTCCATGCAGTTTGTTTCAAGGGAATTAATTTTCAATGTAGTTACTCTTAAAGCTGTTAATTGAAATGAATATAAAAGTGATTATTAAAACAGGTACAAAAATAAGAAAAAAGCCAGAGGAATTCAAATGAGGCTTATTTACCTAATGGCAGTGTACAAAACTTAAAAATAAATTTTAAAAAATGGAGTTCATTGACTTGAAGAGGACAGATGCTAAGATGGTGATAGTGATGATAATAAGAATAGCAACCGATCCTGTGATTTCATGGGAATAGGAAATTCCCAGATGAAAAAGCTTCCTTATCAATGCAACTCAACACCTTCTCCATAATCCACAATTTTAGAGGTTAAATGACTTGCCCAAGGTCACATAGCTTGTATGTGCCAGATATGGAACTTGAACCCTGGTGTTCCTGGATTTGTGGCCAGCTATGCCACAATGAAATGGAAGACTACTTACAAAAAATATAAGTTGCCTAGGTTATGTTTGGTTATACTCTGAGTATTCACAAGTCATTCACATAATTTGCTAATTTTTATAGTTGCGTTATACAGAAATTCAGATTATTTTTTTTCTTCCAAAATGATTGTTACTCTGTGATGTGCAACTCACTGTTGCCGTATTTTTGTGGCCTTTATTCATGACTAGAATTCTCCATGTGAGAAATATGTCTTTTACACAGCCAATTCAATAAGAAAAGTTGAAAAATAAAAGAGAGAAAGAGAGAGAGAGAGAGACAGAGAGACAGAGAGAGAGAGAGCATAGATGGCAGAGTAATTGCTGACCCGCTTTGGTAGAGGGAGTTTCCTCATTGGGAATTTTCTGGACTAATGAAATCACAGGTTTGGTCCAAACAACAGTAACAACATTACGCATTTTATATTTGAGGACTCAAAGTGTCCAATGGATAGTAACTTATGGGGGAACAATTTTCAAATGTGGGAGCAATATGGAAACCTTATCCAGGGTATACAAGTACACTGTTCTGGTTTACATGGGACCCTTCTAAAATGAGCTGTGTTGAGATCATGGAAAGGATAATTGAAAATTTATATTTTACCCATTATCTAATTTTATTTGATTTATTTCATTATATTCTCCTACACTAATTGGTTTGCTTTTCTATTTTTTCCTATCTTTTTCCTTTGCTGCTTTTCTCCATTTGGATCCTTTGTCTTCTTCACCTCTGCACCATATTGTGATTTCGGGTGACATTTACTCTTGAAATCTTGAAAGTGATTATGCGCAGGCCTTCAAGCCCGAGGTCTCAGATTTACTCTCTTTCTTCTGACAAAATTTATAGTAACGATTGCAATTCAGACTGCTCTCTTGCCCCTGACAATTACTTGGGCTTGGAAAAAAATGATTCTCAGGCTTGTGAGGACATATCAATAGTACCTTCTGAAGATGACATTGAGAAATCAATTCTTGTTAATCAAGATGGCACTATGACAGTTGAGATGAACATTCGATTCAAGATAAGAGAGGAAGAGATGGTAAAGTGGACAACCACTGTCCGTAGAGTTGGTCTTCTTAACGGCGACAAAAAGAGTGAGACGTGTGGTTTTCCGATCAGGACAGAGGATCAGTCACCTGCTATAGAAAGTTCTACCTGTACCCAATCCACAGATGTCCCATTCTTGGAAAAATGTGAAAATGAAGAGGACAACTTGGCAAAAGAAACAAACTCTCAAGTGACAGGCAGAGAAAGTGACATTTATAATGGTGCTGTTTGGGAGAATACTCCTGTGAACACAGATGTCAGTGAGATGCCTCAGCATCAGGTCAAGCATCGTTTTCATCGGCCCCCAACACCTGGTCCCAGAAGAGTGCGGCAAAAGAAGTCTCGAGTAGAAAGCATTACTTTGGTATCTGAAACAGAGGTTGAAGAAAAGATGATTGGGCAATTTTCCTATAGTGAAGAAAGAGAAGATGGAGAAGGCAAATCTGAGTATCACATGTTCACACATTCTAGCAGTAAAATGTCATCAGTGACTAACAAACCAAAGCTTGCTGAGTTCAATAGTGAGAATCTACCCAAGGCTTCTCTTGAAAGCAAAACTGAAGACAGGCTGTTTTTGTCTAGCCCAAAAAGTGGTGACCTCGTAGAAATTACAAGTCAAAAGACTTTAGAGGTGGCACAAAATGATAGTTTGTCACAGATTGTCCAGGATAAATCAGTTATGGAAGAAGGTATAGTTTGTATGAAGAATATTATGCCTTATGATACAATCAATGACAGGATTAGACCTCTTCCAGCAGACATTACCCACTTTTGTGTCAGTGGGTCTGGAACTGAATTGTCCCATGGTGAAACTATTTCTGAGGTCCCCACCTCAATGGATCCTTCTACTGTAACCACCAACATTGATAAACTAGTGAGTGAGTTTGCTCAGTGTGGGCTAAGAAGCACCCCTACCAGTGAAAGGCTGATTTTACCCTCTGGACCCAAAAAGAAAAAGGGGAAGAAGTCTCACTTGCAAGTGGTAAATTCAGAACAGAGTCAGCTCAACAGGGAGAATGCAATTAAAAGAAGTCTTGATAAGAATGAGAAGGTGGACTTCAACAGTGAAACAATCCAGGAAGCCATGTCACCGAGCTCACACTGTACAGAAAGAACCGTGGTACTTCAGGTTGGGAGCAAGAAGGCAGCCAATAGGACTGTCTATGCAAATGGTGTATCTTCTAAAAGCAATCTAGACCTCACTATTTCTAAGACACTCCCATCAACTCAAGTCCCCGCTGCTAGAAGAATCAAGAATAATGGACTTTTTTCAGGCAAAGCAAAACACAAAGCAGTTAAAAAA